TACGGGAATCCCCTGCATTGCATGTGGACGGTCCAAGATATGGGGCCCACCATTTATACTTTCCAGAACCACTGTGATTAACATGTTGATTAATACCTATATGAATGTGTATTAATATAAAATTAACATTGAACAAAATCTCATTAACATTGTACAAAATTATAAAAGTATTTGACATTATAATAGCAATACAAGAAAGAAAATTCTTTTTTTTTTGTTTTAACCCTTTCTCCTTTACTTTAACTTTATCATTGGTTAAATCATTAATGATTTTGAATTTGATCATATCCGTAAAATCTAAATTGTTGATTTGAGAATAATGATCTAGATTTACTCGTAAAGAAAAATAACTCAAATTATTAATTGAATTTCATTAGTATATCACATCACCAACGATTTATTCTAAGAGAGAGTCCAATAAGATAATAGGGTTTTTTTTTTCTTTAGAGGTATAATTTCCAGACTCAATCTACCAGCTGATTGCCAAGGAACGAGAGCAGACAACATGCGATTGCGTGGACTTAAAAATGAATATAGAAAAGGGGACAGAATGTTATGAATAATCGAACCCACAGTCATGTATGAGTGAAAGGGAAGAGACTCTAGTTAGCACTGCCATCGCTTTTCTGCTCGTTCTCTAGTCAACTCCAGAATCATGCACCTTAATTTATGTTCAAGCATTGCTTTTGGAACCTTCGTGCCTTAAACCTCTTTTTATATCTCAGCATCACTATTCCATGTCGACGATTAATAAGAAAAAATCATACTCAAATTAGAAGAGAACTCCTAGTTCCCATCAGGGTCGAGAATTGAGCCACGTTATGCCATTGCTGGATTTACTAGTTTTATAGATGAATTTTTTAATTAATATTTATTTTAAAAATTCATTGATATGTATGTTATTGACGAAATCGAGAATAAAAACAATTCATCAAAAACAATTAATATTGATTATTTTATCAGTAAAAATATCACGTCACCATACAATTTATCCTTTTAAATATTATTATAGCATTTTCTATTATCCCTTTGATATATATCAAGAAATTTTATTTTTTATTTTTTATTAATTGATTAATACTTAGAAAAATTTTTCTGTAAATATCATTGTAATATACTGATAAATTTTTTTATCTATTTTTTTTTTGTATTTGTTAGTTTTTTAGTAGGATAGAAGGAAGTCCTGCAATAATATCACTTTCAGGATTAGAAGAAAAAATCATACTAAAATTAAGAGAACTCCAAGTTCCCATCAGGGTCAAGAATTGAGCCACGTTATATCACTGCTGGATTTACTAGTTTTATAGATGAATTTTTTATTTGGTATTTATTTTAAAAGTTTATTAATATGTATGTTATTGATGAAATCGAGAATAAAAACAAACTAAAAAAAACTAATATTAATAATTTTATTAACAAAAATATCACATCAGATTTATCTCTTTAAATCTTATTATAGCTTTCTATACCATCCCCTTGATATATATCAATAAAAAATTTTATTATTTTTTATTAATTAATTTGTATCAGTAAATATATATCATTGTAATATACTAATACATTTTTTTCATTTTTTTCATATTTATTAATTTTTTAGTAGTATAGTAGGGAGTCCTGCAATAATATCACTTTCAGGATTTATTATTATTATTATTATTATTATTATTATTTTATAAATGAAAGTACCAGGGTACCTCAACCATCCAATTGGAGTTCATGCTTCGCGGGGAGGCTGACAATCGCAATTTGCAACCTATTCTTGATAATGTTTGAAAGAATTAGAAGATAAAACAACCCCTATGTAAGCCCACTTATTTCGGCGTAGAAAGAGGAGTACTTAGAATTTAAGCCTTGTCCAAAAGCCCAGTAAGAAGCTGGCTCATGTACTAAGGCGTGGTGTAGAGCCCATTTAACCGAAGTCTAGACGAAGCAGATTATTAAATATTGAAAACAGACATCAAAGTATTTCGAACTGCTAACGTGTGTAACAAATCTCGAACAGGAAAAAGGAACTAGATATACTGCGTAGGGCAATACTTTTGAAGATGATGGTTTTACAAATATGAACCCTATAAAAGGAACATTTGTAGGGTTTTCCTCGCCACTGGTATCGAAGTTTGAGCACAGGCACAAATTCTTGTCACCGCCTAGCTCAGGAAATTGTTCGGGGATTGAGGAGAAACAATGCTAATCTCTCAGGCTCCATAATTGCTCGTTCCATACGCTCCCCAGCATGAGAGCTTGAAATACGAACTTCCACTGTCCACCATTGGAGTTGCATCACTCCATGCCCCTTTTGAATTATTTTCTAGGTTCTTCAACGATTGAGGGTGTGTATAGTACCACGAGGAAGATTCATATGTTAAAAAGAGAAGCACCATCCACCAAATTACATTTCAGAAAAAGCTTGCCATGAAAATTCTACAAAACCAGATTTTCGAGCAGAAGAGTCCAATCCAGAAAGGATTTCGAGGGTGTTTCAATATAGCAAAAACTATTTAGGTAGCTCAGATTAAGTTGCATGCCTATTTAATTGTTTTATCATAAAAAAATAAAAAAGATACAAATATTTTTCAGAAAGGAAAAAAATCTAAAGGCCATTGAACTGGCTGCTGTTAATAAAATCAATTAATTCAATAACATGAATAAAAAATAAGATATTAATAATAAATAAAAAAGAAAAAAAAAACAACAACATTCCATTCAAAAGATGAATTTTTTTAATATTATAAAAATATATATGTATAATAATCATAAAACATCTAATGATTTTATTTGTACATTATTCATAAAGCATCCTATCTCTAATTTTTTTAACTAAAAAGAAAAAAGTTCGAGATATGCTTATGTTTTTAATTTAACAATATGATAAAAATATAAGGCAACAAATAAAAATAAAAAACAATCATGAATGACAAAATTGAAATTAAAATTAAATAAGAGAGAAAAAAATTCCAATCCCCTTTATCTTTTCTAATTGCATTAATAAAAAAAAAACTATGTAAGGTTACATATATTAAAAATTTTATAAAAACTTTTATTGTTTTTTAAAAAACAATTAATTTAAGAAAAAAAACAACATATCATTCACCCTAATTATTTTGAAAAAGAAAAAAGACACATTATCTGTTGAGGCTAGAATCTACTGGTATGGCTGGAAAAACAGGGTTCCATTTTGCTTTAATTTGGATTTAATTGTGCTAAAATAATTGATGATCAAATTAAAAATTATTAAAAATTTTATTTTTATAATTCATAATAAAATGTGAGAAAGTAAGTAGTGATGTAACTATAGTAAAAATACTATACCATTTAAATTTATTGAAAATTTTTAAAAAATAAAAAGGATCAATCATCTTATAATAAAAAAAATATAAAAAACAAAAGTATACTTCATCAACAAATTCAAACACGTTATTTATATGAAATTCAAGCACGTTATTTATATTATTTGTATGTTATACTTCAATCACTTCTCTTGTAATTAAACACTCGCACCAAAAAAACATTCAATTGGATTTTAATTTAAGCTCAATCATGTAAAATAAAAAATTTTAAATCAAATTAAAAACTCCAGGATAAAATTTTAAGGTGAAAAGTGGTGTAGCTACAGTAAAAAACGTTATCCCATTTAGCTTTATAGATAATAATAATGTGCCAACAGTGGAATATCAGTCCTGATATGGAGGACAACAGAATTCGAATTATCCGAACTATTCCACCATTTAGATTGAGTTCGCGCATCTACTTCCACATAATCGGATGATCATAATAGTTAGACGAGATATACAAGCAAAATCATTACCCCACCTTTCTATAGTTTAAGCACGGCTGCAGGATCGTGGTCGACCTGTTTCATGGCAAATGAACTGCAAGTTGGTTTTAATATCTTGTCAACTTCCCAAATTCAAGAGTTGCACTCGTTGGCCATCATTTCTCCTCATATCAAAACGAGAAAATAATGCTTTCATAAAATTCCCTAGACTTGAAAAACAAAAGAGAATGATGGATGTTTCTTAAAGCATCAATTTTCTTTACCAATGAGCACAATTAATTAAACAGATTGATTTATAACTTAAAACCTCTCAACTACTCCACCTTAATAGAGTTTCTGAGTTTCACGTTTTCTCTTCCAGTACGAGTGTGTTTTTATGAGTTTTTGTTTTCGCTTTTAATGATGGGTCATCACCAAAAAATACAGCAGCAAAATAATAATTTTTATATTTTGTGTTGGGGAAGATTATACTCTGCATCAAATGCAAAAACAAAAACTCTTGACAAACATACTCTATATGCGCTGTGAGAGTCCACGGCAATGGTTTTACTTGAAAGATGGTAACTACTAACTACAGTCTTAAGTCAGCCTGTCACAACATTAATCAGACTCAATATCCTGGAGTTTCTTTATTTTCTATTTTATTATAAAAAGGACTAACAGCTCCAAAAGTTATATTTTTTTATCTGGCTTCTCTCACTAACAGCTTATGCACTCGAGGCTTTCTGTGTACAGGTACTGTTGAATCTATTCAGCGTCTTTTCTCACACCTTCACTGCTCGTGGAGCAGATTCACTGACTGGTTAGGAATGACTTGGTGCATTCCTACAACAGCTGAACATGTGTTTTGGAATGGAAACATCTTGCCATCGGTAAATTTAAGAAGAATGCGTTTCTTCTTCTATGTTATGGTATCTTCTGGGGTATCTGGATTTTTAGAAACAAGTTGATTTTTACTATGGAGGAACTAGATTGTTTATTAACTCATTCTTCGTCATTTGACATCTTGGTTGAGAAACTTCAATAATTAATTCTTTTATACATGTTCAGATCCATTCAGAGGTCCTGAAGATATTTTAATTTGGAGTAATTGATGTTTTAATCTATTTTTATTTTGGTTTTACTTTTGTTTCTCTTTTTATTTGGTTTGATCTATATTCTTTGAAACTTTTTTTTATTTTTTCTATGTGACCATTTGCTCTACAGCACGGGAACTTCAAAAATACATCGAATTTTATTAAGAGAAAAAACAAAAAATCCGTTACACCCATGACTTACCCTCACCATCATCATCGTCTTCTTCTTCTTCTTTTTCGTCTAAAGGTTCATATGATCCTGCATCATGCATTGTTCATTTCCTCTGATCGGATAATGCTGTCAAAAACAAAACATCAACTAATTAAAAACATTTGAAGAAACACAAAATTTCTCGTGATGTTGAACCAGAAGCACTGTCACCAGTCAACAACTGCTTTCAGAAAAGCATTATTAATTACCTGAATGCCTCTTTTGGATTTGCTGAAGAAATTTACATTTGGCTTCACCCAAAAGAGAAGGTGTTCTTGTCCTCCTATCAGGATGCCATTGCTGCCCTAACAAGCAACAATTCATAAATCATTTATTCCACCTAGGTTAACTAATTAATTAATTTGCAACTTAATTCAGAAGAAATATCAAACTAAAAAAAAATAATCGTTTAATAATACTAGCAAGCTTGAGATAAGTTCGTCGATAGAAGACTCTGAACTAACACCAAGAACTGTAGTAGGACGGTGACCCTTGCGGCTGATCGACCCCCATCTTCACCAGCTAGCTCACATACATAGACATGCAACTCTATCAAAACTGATCTAGCTAGCAACTAGTGGTCACTGTGCTTGTAATAAAGATTTAAAAGGTCAGGGCTAGTCCTTGGGGAAGTTTCGGCAATAAAGTGAGGAAGACTAGGGCGGTTTAATTGGAAACGATATAGTATTTTAAATTTTTATGATCTGGAATCATAAAAAACTAAAATTTGAAATTTTATTTATCTAAAAAAACTATTTTTTTAATTTATATTGAGTTTGAAAAATACATTTTAGAGATTCCACATGGTTTTTTAATTAATATAAGCTTCCCACTGTTTTCTAAATAAAAGAAAAACATGAACACTATATTTTTTTTCCTTTTATATATAAGTACTTTTTAGCAATATAAAAAATTATAATTATATTTTTTATATTTTCATATTTAGACAGTGTCATAAACTTATTTTTTATTTTAAATTTAATATAAATATTTTTTAATTAATATATAACCGTTACATGATAATTCTTAATTAGAATGAAATCAAATTAATATTTTACAAGTAAATTAAATATAAAATACTAAAATGATAGTTATAAATTATGGTTTTATGTTGTGACACGTTTGTTTCATACTGACCAGGAAATTTTGTGAAGGATTGCAATGAATTTGTTTGGTCTATTTGCACGGATGGAATTGTAGTCGTCTATTTATCACAGGGAAGGACATTGAAGGATCTTCGGCTCCGTATGCGAATCTTGAGGACTGTTTGTTTTTTAATTTTAAAAGTATTTTTAAAAAAAGTTTAATTTTTATTATTTTTATTAATTTTAAATTAATATATTTTTAGTATTTTTAAATTATTTTACTATACTAATGTTAAAAATAATTTTTAAAAAATAAAAAAATATTATTAACATGTATTTTAACACAAAAAATTATTTAAAAAATAATCACAACTACACTTTTAAATAAGCTGTTAGTAATGCAGTGTAATAGAGTTTTTATAAAATTTATTTTTTTATAAAAAGTTAATGTTTTATATATTTTTGATCATTTTAATATATTAATTTTAAAAAATATGTAAAAAATATATATTATTTTAATATATTTTGATATAATTTTTTTTTAAAAAATAGCCTAATCACACTTTAAAAAAAATATATAGAAAAGGTAATGGATAAAAATATAAAAAAGATATCCTCTCATTTAAGAAATCTTTCTGTCTTTATTTACATATTCAAATAATTTATTATATTTATAATCTTTTAAACATGTATCTTAAATAATTTGAATTTTTTCCCTAACATGGCCTTCTTTGATTTTATTTGGCAAGCATCAAATATTTTTACTTCATAAACTTTTAAGTGGTAAATATAATTCATTCTAGTTATTATGGGTGATATTTCTTGTTATAATTAAATTTATTTTATCAAGCTTTATTTGATGATATTAGTTGTATTATAATTTGAATTTCATTCTGTATTTAAGATTGTTTTTTCATTTTTTTTCTCTTTTCCCATTTAATATTTTTTTATTAGAAATTGTTATTTTAAATAGCAAAAAGCTATAAGAATTATGTATTTTTAATCGTGTGATATATAAAAACTATGTTTTTTCATCAACAAAAAATTTAGTTTTGTTATTCTGTTAATATTTTAAATTAATTATGTTAACTTTTTTTTAAAAAAAAATCCAAATTATAGACATTGGGATCTTATTTTAAAATCCAAATTATAGACATTGGGATCTTTCTCTCTTGACAAGGTCACGTCAATAATACCATGTCCTTCCTCCACCGTCCAATTAGTTTACCTTATTTATTTTAATATTTTAAAAATATTTTTTGAAAAAAATTAAAATTATTTTATTTTTTTTATTTTTTGATAATTTTAATGTGCTGAGATTTAAAACAAAATTTAAAATTTTAAAAATATTATTTTAATAAATAAAAAATAATTTTTTTAAAAATAATTATTATCATGTCAAACAGATTCTACATATTTAAGTGTTTTGTATCAAAAAGATCGATGTTTTTTTCTTTAGTTATTAAATAAAATATTTTTAAAATATTAAAATAATTAAAATGAAAAAAATTATAAATTTTATAAAGCACTTTTTCAGTGTACGATATTCAATTCTTAAGGCACTATCTATTTCTTAATCACCTCTTATTCTATGAGTTTTATACCCAAATCGTTATCGTAAATAATGCTCGAATAAACTGATGAATAATTAGTTAGTCCCTTTTAAGGGGAAATATGTATATTCCTTTTTTTTTTCCTGAAGCTTTAATAGATTTATCAAAGTAAATTAAAAATTAAATGGTTGAAAATCAATGTTTTTACTAGCTAGGATATCAAATCTACTATTATATAGTTAGCAGTATCTCTAACCAAAATGATTTTTTAAGATGAATATTCTGTCAAACCCACTATTCGTCAAGAACCAAACAGTCTCGAAACGAATTCGTCAATATGTACTTACTGTTCATGTAAAAAAATTGATATTTAATCCGGTCCTTTCATTAACTACACCTAGGGTTTCGTAGTATTTTTTTGACTAAAGACATATATGAGAGCACACATGTGAAGAATCAAACCTTGACTTTTTTCGGCGGACGCATGACAAGTATTGATTAAACAATATTTGATCAAATTTAACCACGGAGAAGAAGGTTTGGAGGATGATTTTGCTCAAAATAAATATAATTAAGATTTTAATTAAATAAATTGATTTGATATTTTTTAATTAACACTAAAATGATCTCTTTTAAACCCCTATTTATGGTGCATAAAATATTAAAATGTCTAAAATAAATAATGAGTGAATGATAAATCTATCTTAAATAACTTTAATGAAGTTAAAAAAATACCAAAATTCAACCATAAAACTTTGTTTCATGTTGAAAAAAATAAAAACTCTTCCTCTTCCAAAATTTACACACATAAATACATGTGTGTGTATAATCTTTGTCTCACATGAAAAAAATAAAAATGTTTTTTTCTCTTGAATTGGAAAAAATAAAAACTCTTCCTCTTCCAAGATTTATACACATAAATACATGTGCGTGTATAATCTTTGTCTCACATGAAAATAAAAATGTTTTTTTCTCTTGAATTCAAGATCACAAAGTAAAGCCTATGCACATTGTACTATGCATTACACATAAAACATACTAAAATAAAAGGTTCCTAGCAACAAAAATGCGAAGGATTATAAAGAGATCATTAGCTGTACTAAAAGATCATTACAGAAAATCATATAAAGTGATAAGTAAAAGAAGTGAGGGAACAAACCCCAGGAGGCAGTGGCGTCATAATTGCTTTCTTCTTCGAGCCTGTCTTCACCCATTCGTGCCATGTCTTACTATTTTGATCAATAATTCAGAGTCCAGGCTTATCACATTTTACTCTTTTGAAAATATTGGATATAAAGGTGTGTAGCTAGAGAGAAAATAAGTCCTCTTAACAGATTATATAAAGGGATTGTTTCTACTGTATTATCTAAGATCCATCGTAGGTCCAACACAACGAAATACGTAAAAAATAAATTGTTAGCTAGGACTTGTTTGTATAACTAGAAAGAAATAATACCCCACAGGAACAAATTCACATAAGATGAAACTGGGCATGAGAGAGATCTCACCTCCGTATATCTGAGTTTTCCAACTTCATCTTTATCGAAACTCCAACAACTGAGGATACTAATTTTGGTTGGAAGACGATCTTTGGCGCTTGACCCCTTTAAATTTGTTGTAGTTTTTTACATCGGAGCTGCCTTCAAAACTTAACTAGGGCGTCAAATTCCATGCAAACACTTGCCAAATAAGCAGTCTTTTGCTTGTGCCTCACATTCGTCATGTGTTCGACCTTAAAGCTTCTTATTCTGTTCGAACTATCATTTTATCATTCTTGGTTTTCCTTTTTGGATAAAAATGGTTTAATTACTTCTAATTTATTTTTCTTTAGCAACCCAATTGATCTCAAAGCTTTTACTATATAGTTCTTGCACCGATCAGTAATTATATTGTTTTTCTCATGACAAAGGAAAGGTTAAAAAAAAAAGAGACAAGAAGTCAGGGTGTTAGTCACCACCAATTTCGATGACCTGCAGAGCAAGGTAAAAAAAAAAGAGACAAAAGAAGTCAGGGTGTTAGTCATCACCAATTTCGATGACCTGCAGAGCTTTCTCGTCAGATTTAGATCTTAATGATCAAGAAAATCGTGTTAAGAAGAAATACATAGGATTTTGTAACCCATGGAATGGTTATGTATATATATGATAATAATTAATAGATTTGTTTTTGTCGCATCATGATGGAGCTAGCAAAGAAATTCTAGCTAATTAGGTTTTAATATGTAATCCCAAACACGCATGTTCAAGGTCGAACAGACAACGAAACAAAGACTGATCTGCAAAAGACTGATCACTTCACAAGCATAGCATGGAATCCACTCACCCGGTTGACAACAGAAATACACCCATCTCACCATTCTTCTTCTTGGGGAGCTGCATGGTATATATGGTACCATAAAGTACTAATGCCACCTGAAAACAGTTCTCAATTAAATTAATAAGAAACTCATGCTCAATATCCTAAAGCTATGGCAAATTAATCAACTTAATATCATTCAAAATTAATGAAGGTCACACAAGAACCACAAAATTTGGCAACAGCAGAAAAGAAGACGACCATGCTATAACAAGACGATGATAAGAACAGAATAAAGCACACACCTGCAGCAAGGTCCCTTTGGCTGCAAATTCAAATCCATGAAGAGTTGTTGGTGCAATGTGTTATGGTGACAGGTCGATTTTTATAGAGAAAAGAAGCGCAGAATTTGCAGGGTTGAAGCGTGTGAATTGTGTGTTATTCTATATCTGCTACATTTTACACGTGAGAAGCTTTGACCAACGGATGAGACATGTTGGGAATGGTGCATGTTTACTCAACCCAACAACCTAATTCCATAGTAGACGCTTTTGAGAGAGAGAGAGACTATTTTCTTAGATAATGTTAAGTTGCGGATGAGATTATTATTTTTTTAATTTTAAAAAATTTATAAATATATTAAAAAATACAAGATTTGATATATATTGAATGAAATTATTTTAAAATATTAAAATTGTAATGTATTGAATGATAAAAGGTTAAAAAAATATTGAGATGTAACATATTAGTTTAATTTAGACCAATCATGATTACTTACAATCTAAAATGTGAGATCATGATAACTTTATAAAATCCAAATTTGAACAAGATAAAAAGCTCAATTATAATAAAAAAAATTAATTAAAAAATGACTAAAAAGCTATATTTAATTAAATGGTTTAATTTGATTCAAGATCAAAATTTCTTTTAAAAAATCTAAATTTAACAAAAAACAACAAATAAAAAAACTGAGATAACCCTATTTATTTTTAAAATTATTAAAAAACTATTACATAAATAAAATAAAAAAACAATGGAGTCCAATCACTGATAAAATAAAATGTTGAAGGATGAAACTGAAAAAAATATGATCTTCAGAAAAAAATAAACTTGAATAAATCTTCTAAATCTAGGTTAATATCTTAAATTCACAACTTGTTAAAATATAAATCAATACTAAAAAAAAACTCAATTTAATTTTGGAATATGAAATGAAAAAAATAATCAAAAATTTAAAAATATAAATAAAAAATATAAATTTTTAAAATGATCTCAAATAAAATAAATAGCAATTAAAATAAAAGAAACCAAACCTAACTTATATAAAAATCAAAAGAGGATGAAATTGAAAATAATTTTCAATGCTATTAATTAATTCAAATAAAAAAATATTAATTGAAAGAACATGGATAAAATCTAAAGAAAAAACAAATTAAAAGAATATTATGAAATTTTAGGAGATCATGCATGCAAATGAAAATCAAGATGGAGAATAAAAAATCAATCAACACCCAACCAGAAGGAATTATGCCATACCCACCACCCAAGAAAGTAGACTTTGTCGTGATAATTTGAAAAACATTAAGGAAGGTTGTTTTTTATTATGGTATGTTGCTGCATACGTTATTTAACACCATGAGATAATTTACTTACTAGCGCATACAATATGTACTTTTTATTATTTGTTATGTTTTTAAAATAGCAGATCACATCTCATACTATATAATTATTATAATAAAAACTAAGATGAAAGTTCGAATAAGCTTTTGAAGGCAAGCTAAATAAGTTTTGATTTTAAGGAGCAATAAATAATTTATTGGTGATGTGAAAAGTGAAATTTCAAAAATATTCTTGTATCCAAGTTAAATATTTTTTGCATTTAAGAGAAATTAAGTAATTGTAGTGTGAAAAAAGTATATGAAAAGACTGAATTGCTCTTGATGAATTATATAATGACTTATAACGAGAAAGATCCAATTATACCAATAAATAGTTAAATTTTGTATGATAAAATAATAATTTTATTGTTTCAATGGACGAGAATTCAAGGCATCGTTACTGTATTTCTCCATCAACTTTACTTTTCGTTAATGGTTAAAGAAAATGATTGAGTAATCAAAAGGAGACAAACCTCGGGGGGGAGTAGTAGATAGAAATGAGGATACTTAAAAGTACTTACGGGGTTGAAAATAGAAGCTAAGCGAGCTAAAAGGAAGGAAGCGATCAAGGTTAGTTGTGCCCGTGTGATTCTTGAAATGCTGATAGAGTAAAATAGAGATTGGTATTGTTGGTGCCCAACTCCACATGATCCCACTTTCCAATTCCAGCTACCTTTATCACCCATTTGCATAAAATACTTGCATGTAAAACTTAGAAAATAGTGCTTATGACAGACATACACAAGCATGATCCCACTTTCCGACTGCAGCTACCTTCATAACCCATCTGCTTAAAATCCTTGCAGGTAAAACGTAGAAGACAGTGCTTATGCTTGCTCAAGGAAACAAATTACAGACGCAACCATGCATAAAGATGCAAATGCATTCGTACGTATATGCGTGTTTGGAAATATGTATGCGTCCAATTTTCTTAATGTCTACCATTTAGTTGTTTTTGCAACTCTCCAACTATCACAACTATAAACGACCAACCATCCTTTCCAAAAGTACGCAACAAATTAAGACAACCACTGCTAACGCGACCAGGACGTTCTGAGCTGGAGTTTGCAGCGAATCAAGACTCGTTGGTTGTTCATATGTACTGGGTATAATCAATCTTACATGTAAGAGTGTGGATATGAAAATCAAGCACCTCTAAACATGTTGATATCAATTAATTGATTGATTTTCATATGAACATCAAGATTAGATATGAGTGGGATTTGTAAGTATAGACGGGGACCTTGAACACAAAACAGATCACACGACTGGTTAGTTGGCTAATTGAGATGCCAAGAGATAGTGTTATGCCTTGTAAGAGACTAAGAGCAACAATTCATCAACAAAAAAGAATGGAAGAAAATAGAGGAATACATGGGAGGAAGAGCAAGTTGTACTAACATAACGCAAGTTTGAATGACAACAGGTTGTTTGGATGGCCATCAGTTTGAGTGACAGATGGTTGAGTGACAAGCAGTTCGGGTAGCAAGCAATAGATTGACAACCAGTCCAAATAGATAGAGCTGAGGTTGTTGAATATGGGTGTGAGAGCATGAGAGTTCTGAGACAGATTTCTAAAAGTCAAGAAGTTTCATCCCTTTTCATGAATGAAGCGATGTTGGTCTTTGTAACAGGAAGAAAAATATCATCGATCTTCAGGATTGTGTCACATCATCCTTAATTGGATGGTCATATTTAAATTAAAAGGAATTGACTTGGTAGTGAATACTAAAGAAAATAATGATCGGATCTTATCCAAGCCTACCAGGACAATCTTCCCACTACATCGCAAAATAAAGACATGAATACTATACTTACTGCAATATAAATTTGTTGTTATTTTATGCGAAATTTTTTTGATAAAATTTAAATTTAAATTTTTTACTTTAATTTTATTTTTTTGATATTTTTAAATTATTTCAATGTATTAATATTTAAAATATTTTTTTAAAATAAAAAATATTTTAATACATTTCTGAAAAAAACAATTACTATTACACATTTAAAAATCCTTTATTTCATCTTCCCAGTACATCTAAAAAACAAGACACGAATGCTATCCTTGTCTCTCTCTCTCTCTCTCTCTCTCTATATATATATATATATATGTCGTTGCACAGCCCGTGACTTTCTTTGAAAGCATGGATGAATGAGTTAGTACATAATGTATTGAGTTATTTAATTAGTTTGAGGTAAAATTGAGCATATACAGTAAATTTCATTCTTTTTTTTTAATTAACGTTGTTGTTGTGTCTCTCGATTATATTAAAAAATAAATTGTTGTTGTGTCTTTAATGTAATTTGACAAATGTGCGTTCTTCTCACATTTTCTTTTGGAATTCGAGTTTTAGAAAAAAAAAATACAAGTGAATTATTTTTCATGGAAACACTTGTGTTAATTAGAGAAAAAATGAACAAATTTAGCATTAAAAACGGGATACATGAAAAATGAATTATTATAAGTTTCGTGTGTGTATATGCATGATAAGATTTTCATGTGATAAGATAATGGTAAAACGAATGGCTAGTAGAATTGCTCGTTACACTTGGCTAATAGATTGGCCATTAATTATTACTGGCGAGGTCTTCATGCCGAGTCTATAGGGTTTTTCTATGACCTACACATATAAGATTTATATAAATAAATGAAAATGATATCGAATACAGTTATTGTACTATGTATGAATCCGTCTTTTGTGTATAAATACTTTATTTTTTTATTTATAATTGATGGGAATTTCACTATCACATGCATGCATATTTAACAATCTTTCCCTCACACGAGTCCCTTACCCATCGAATATATATCTCCATAATTGACTAGAGAGTGATGTCATTTGTTTCGATTATAAGAGATGTTGTGCCCGATACTTGAATGATCAGTATTATGGAAAGAGTATCTCAAGTGGGAATTACGTACTTTGTGCATGTATATATATATATATTTTATATAGTTTTTTTTATGCATTCCACTATTATTATTATATATACACGATTCTGAACATATAAATACAAACGTTATCATTCTTAGCATCCATTACTATTCTTATAAATTTATCTTTCAATTATCTATATAAACTTGATGCTAGAAACTCTGAAAATAATCAAACCATAAACTGCTATATGATTGCATCGATCCCTCCCCTCTTCTCCACTGCACCGACAACAATCTCTGCACCGGCAGCCCATTTCTCTTCTTATTTCTGGAGCCTCCCCTGCTGCTGTCGTTGGTCATGCCTCTAGCTAGTGCTGTTTCTCTGCCTCTCATGGCTGCTATTATTTCTCACGGGGCTATTATAATTCCTCTTTCAAATACTTAGCAAGTAATCTTCTTAAAGCTATCAAACACCAAATTCTTTCAGTGGAGGATGCTGATGAAACCTGATTTGCTAGTCCAATAAGCGATATACAATTGAAGATAAATCATCAGGAATGGGCTGAAGAGGGGCAGTAGGTGCAGGCAGCGTGTGGAGAGAAATGGGGTAGGTGGTGTTGAATTTGGTAAGTTATTTTTTAAAAGTATTTTTATTTTAAAATATATTAAAATAATATTTTTTATTTTTTAAAAGTTATTTTTAACATGAGAATATTAAAAGTATATTAATTTAAAAATAAAATCAAAATATTTTAAAAATATTTTCCTACTATAGTGTTAAATACTATTTTTTAGCGTTTTAAAAGTTATTTTTAACATCAATATTTATAATATGAGAATATTAAAAATATATT